CCGAGCTTTGCATCGTCATAGGAGGAGACCTCACAGGAAAAATACGGATTGTATGTTTCCGAGTTTTTGGCGTGACGGCAATGAGTTTATGGGTATAAGAGACCAGCACGAATATAAACGGCTACAGAACGGAACCGTTCTCCTCACATTTATAATGACATCTAATAATAATGCTAATAATTATCATTATATTCATGTTGCCTCGTCTAAAAATAATTATAGAAAGATATAAGTGGGGGTGCGAGAAGGGAAGAGAGAGAATGAAAGAAGGGATAGGTGGAGAGTAGTGAGTGAGAAAGCGAAGTATATATGTATGATATAATACTATATAATGCTCTTGGACATTATATATAGTTATATAATATATATATAATATATATATATATAATAATATACTATATAGTGAGAGAGAGAAAGAGAGAGAGAGAGAGAGAGAAGAAACAGGGAGAGAAGGGGGTAAAAAAATGGGGCATTGTAGCTTTTCTTAGTCTTGCTCGACGTAAAAGCATTACGACTCATGAGCCTATTCCTTTTCCTAGGAAGCCAATTCTCAAGTATAAAATTTCTATGAAAAGTCACGGGACGTTAAATTATAAATGTGTGTTGTGGTTACTACGACTAATGCAGAGAGTTAGATTGCTGTAGTTATTGAGAACTATCTGCTTGCGCAACGTAAGTTATGTTCATGGGTAGATTCTATTCTATTCTATTCTATTCGTTTCTATTTATTCTAATTCTATTCTATATATCTATTCCTATCTATTTCTATTTCTATCTAATTCATATTCTATTCTAATATAACTTTATTCCATTCTATTTAATTCTGTTCTGTTCTATTATATTTTTATTTATTCTATTTTTATATTTATATTCATTTCCCTTCTATTTAATATATCATTCTATTTATCTTATTTAAATATTCTATTTATGCTAATCTATTTAGTTCTATTCTATTTCTTTCTATTCTATTTTATTCTATTCTACTTTCCAGAATACCTATCTCTCTACCTATATGTCTACTCTTACTCTAGTTCTTTCTATTTATTTATTTTACGTGTATTATAGATATATCCTTTTATTCTATTGTTATTCCCTATTATTTGACCTCGTGAGAGGGAGCCTTTGGTTGTGTTAGATATTTGTTAAGGTTTGAGTAAGCGCGTGTGCAGGCTGAATGTAAGAGCGGCCTATGGAGGGGCCAAATGCATTTGCTTCAGTATGCTGAGTATCAAAACCTTAATGGATCGTGACTTAAACTTTCGTTTATAAATTTTAATTGTGCGTGCCCGTGCCATTGCCTATATTTGATTGGAGTTGGCGTCGCACTCCTACATTAAGTCTCCTGGCAGCCGAAAATTGTTTTTAGGTGTTCTTAAGTACGATTTAAATGACTTTTGCATTTGAAGAACAAAAGGGAGCATTGGCTGAGTTATTGTACGATTATAGTTTAGCGTTTTGCGGCGTATAAGGAAGGGGGGTGGATGTGAAGACGCTGTCACGTGCATGGCGTGCAATAGGGG